AATAGGGGCCCCAGGGAAAGATCTTAAGGCATGGATGGACAGTTAGGAGAAGGGCAGTCATGTCATTAACCTCCCCCCCATCACACATTTCATATTGCTTATTTTTTTTTCCATAGGAACTTTTCCACTCTTAAATTTTTTTCATGTAATTACTTAGTAGAAATAGAGTTCAAATAGTTTTGAATAAATTTGCCTAAAAATGGAATTAAATAAAACAGTGCATTATATACAATGACAGTGAATATGGAGGTAACTCAGAATCCCAAACCATAGAATATAAATCATGGTTCACCTGGTATAGGAAAATTAATCTATCAAAAATGTCAGTGCTTCTCTCTCTTCAGTTTTCAAATTACAGTGGTGCCTCGCATAGCGAGGTTAATCTTTGAATAAATTTGTCTAAAAATGGAATTAAATAAAAAAGTGCATTATATACAATGACAGTAAATATGGAGGTAACTCAGAACCCTAAACCATAGAATATAAATCATGGTTCACCTGGTGTAGGAAAATTAATCTTTCAAAAAATGTCAGTGCTTCTCTCTCTTCAGTTTTCCAATTATAAATTTTCAAAGTAACATTTTTCCATAAAACCTTCATCAATAGAAAACAGTTCATGGATTTCAACCATATGGACTCTAGGAAATTTAGACTGCTAAAGGCAAGTACCAACATTCTAAGGAAGATATTAGACAGTAAGTGTTGCCCTTTTAGAACAGGAATTAAAATTCTGGCAGGCAAGTTCTGCACTAGCTAGTTCTTGTTTTCAAGAACAGCTCCACATATAATATATTACAGTACTTCTGAAAACTCAGACAAACGCTGCGCGTGGCCATTTTGGGCCATTTCCAGGCTTCCGGTGGCCATTTTGGCCGCCGAACAGCTGATCGTCGGGGTTCGTTTTGCCGGTCTTCGCAAAGCGAATTTTGCCCCATTAAAAAAACGTTGAGCGATCGTTATACGGTGCGCTCCTTAAGCGAGGCACCACTGTATAAATTTTCCAAGTAACATTTTTCCAGAAAACCCTCATCAATAGAAAACAGTTTATGGATTTCAACCATATGGACTCTAGGAAATTTAGACTGCTAAAGGCAAGTACCAACATTCTAAGGAAGATATTAGACAGTAAGTGTTGCCCTTTTAGAACAGGAATTAAAATTCTGGCAGGCAAGTTCTGCACTAGCTAGTTCTTGTTTTCAAGAACAGCTCCACATATAATATATTACAGTACTTCTGAAAACTCAGACATGTGACCAGTTTACCCATGAAGCACAGGTACAAAATGGAAGTTCAATATCTGAACAAATTATGAGTCTACCAAAATCAATTAATTAAAGAATTTTCAGAGATTTGAGAATTTGTCTCTGAAACATTGAGTAGACAGTCAAAAATCATACAGATAAAATAACAGATTTTTAAAAATCAAGATGACCATACATGCCCAAAGGAATAAAACTTCCATTTCTCTTTCAACATTGTTTAAGCACAAGGACAGAACACAAAATACCAGGAAAATGAGAAGGAAGGGTACATCCAGAATTGCACACAGAAAGCAGCCAGTAGAGCTATACATTCAGCCTAATGGTTACTGATTGGTAAACACGAAAACAGTCCAGTCAATTTCCTGGTATGCATCCCATTAATATCCTGATATGATAAGGCACTCTGATCCCTGTCTTATCATGCAAGAAAAGAAATGGAAAAGATAACCTGAACTTTCCCCCATGTGCCAAATTTATGTTTACAAACTGTCTATAACATGACAAAGAGTATCTGGCTATCTAACCAATATTGTATGAACACAAAGAGAAGAGCTGAGAATGGAATAAAACAACTGAAATATTCCAGATGCGTAGAAGCCAATGGGTTGTGCCTAGCAGTACAAACACAATTTCAGACACTGCAAACAATTTGGATCTATAGAGAAAGTGCAGATATCTAAGAATCAGATATGTTTCTAAAGCTCTTTTTCAAAAGAAGCAGGGCTGAGGTAGATTAATTGGTACACAGGGCCGTGAGAAAGCATAGCAACAGATTCCCACCTTCTAGGAATGAACTGCAGAACAGGGTGGTGCAATGCCATCCATCCATCCATTTATTTTATTTATTTATATCCCGCCCATCTGATCAATTGACCACCCTGGTCCATGTATTTGCTCTACCTACAGACGCCCTGTACTGTACTCTCCCAAGAACATCTGCCGAAGACACTTTCAGAACCATCGGAAGGGACAGCAACCTAGTGAATAGCACTGTGCTTTTCAAAGTTCTCACACTTTGCGGGGACAACAGGTTCTGAAAAGCAAACCTTCTTTTTCATTCAAACCCCGTCCAAGCTCCAAGGATGCTTTCTGAAAAGCAATGATGACTCCCTGCAATTCCCAGCATGGCAAAGATTCTGGACTCATGACTGACAGTGTACGCTCATAAAAGAACAGGCCGGAGTTGTACTCAGTCTGTTCTTTCTCCTACTGCCTGTAGATGCTGCCCACATGCAATATTTATCCCCCTCCAATTCCATGCTTACAAAAGGATTACGTCACCAGCCAGCCAGAAAAGGATCCAAAACATCCAGTCATGCTGGGATCTTTTTCTGCTGGCTGGTCGTGCATGAGGCCTCAATGAAACCATCAACCAGACTGGAGGAAATAAACCCCTGAAACCTGTCCTCATAGAACATGAGATCCCTAAGAAGAGTGGGGTTCTTGGGTGGTGGTGGTGAAGGAACAGAGCAGATGGAAGGATCCTCACAAAAACTCATTTCCTGCTCCCCCTTCCTCTGGTACCACACTTTCCAAAACCCTGAGTCAGTCAGGAAAAGCTGCTCCTTGTCCCCCTTCTTACACTGGCATTACAATGTGCCCAACAGTCGGATGACCGCCCTCCACCCCAACAAACACAGACACACTCTTTTTCCGGTGCCAAGATTCCTTTCCTGTACAGAGAAGAAAGGGATCATCCTAGTCTTACCTCCCCCCAACACACACACACACACACTCCTTTTCCGGTGCCAAGATTTCTTTCCAGTACAGAGAAGAAAGGGATCATCCTCGTCTTGATTATATTGAAAGCAAGGGAAGGAGAATAGTATGGGGGGGGGGGAATGTCTGTTTCCACTCTTCAACGGGTGGAAGTAAGAGCCTCTCCCCTGGCCTTGTTATGTTTAGGACACGGGTATAAAGGCTCGCGTGACCCTAGCAGGATTTCTCCCAGAGAGGAAATGGCAGCACTGCTCTTCAAGGGTTCAAGGAGCCCATGCCAGCTCCCCAATTCTGCTGGTGAAGAAGCATCCTCACTGGGGCCCTGAAGCCAGAGGCCATCCTCAATCCCTGCGCGCTTGGGCGGCATGCAGGTGTATCTGCATGGGGTGGGGAGGCAGAGCAGCCCCTCCAGGTGCATATTTTGTAGGGGCTTCATTCCCAACCATGCTTCTTAAATGAGGTGGCAGGGCCATGCATGCAGACCAAGGAGTTTGTGTGTGTGTGTGTGTGTGAGGGGAGGGCTTAGAAAAGCTCTTAAAACCCCAACCCAACTGAAGGACCTGCTTTCATCACCCAACTTGGAACGACTCTCCCGGTCCAAACCCTGAGTCAAGGTTTTGGAAAATGTCCTCTTAGTGTTCGAAACCGCCTTGGGTCCTTTTGAGGTGAAAGGGAGGGATAGAAATATTTTAAATAAAACCAAAGGGGAGAGCCCCCACCACCAACAGGGTTACTATCTGCTTGTGTATGTGTGTGTGTGTGTGTGTGTGTGTGTACCCCCAGTTCTTTCCTCTCCCTCATGTCTCCCGGAGGGGGGTGCCCTCACTTCTTTCCTCCCCAACCCCAGAACCCGGCTTGCCGCAGAGGTGGAGCCCAGCCGACCCCCACACGGTCCAGGGCGTGCGTGCGTATCTCTCTCTGTGTTTGTTTGTGTGTGTGTGAGAGAGAGAGACACAGACAGACACCCTCAGCCCCCCCCGCCTCCCTCCTTTCCCCCTCAAAGGGCGGAAAGCAATGGAGGAAG